GACACTCAGTCTTGGGTAAACGTGATGGACCACACACACACACACACACACACACACACACACACACACACACGCACACAAATGATAAAGGCTGCAATAATCCTGTCTCATAGTCATATGAACTGTGTGCTTCCGCTTGGTGAGACCGCGCATGTGTTGATCCTTGCTGCAGCAACGTGCATCCGTGCCTCCCTGACCCGTGTGTTAATCTGCATTCAGACTGAGGCTCCCATGCTTTTTTGTGCTTTATATGGGAGTAGTTTATTACCTGAGGCTTCACTGTGCGTGTTACGTGTGTAGGCCCCTCTCCTGGTCGAAAAGGAGAAAAAAAAAAAAAAAAAAAAAAAACAAGCTGAACGAAATCAGGCTTTCGCATCGCTCCAGCCTTGCCTGATTACTCCCCGACGCATGTCCGTCTTGAGTCTAGATTCGCAGAAGCGCCTCTGCCAGCGTGCGTAATGTATCGTAAAGAGGAAGCACAGTAAGTACGGACACGTCCATCTGCAGGAAAGAGGAAGCGAAGATGGTGATGACAGCTTCACCAAAATCAGCCTCCAAATGCTCGATAGCAATGGCGAAGCCTTCCCTCCCCCTGAAGCTGCTACTCTGGGTCTTTATTGTCATCTCTCTGTCGAAAAGGTAGGACAATAATGCATGTTTTATCTTTAAAAATGTCAAAAGTCGTGAATCTTCCATCTGGTCTGTGGGGCAGCGTTATTTCTTTTTTTAACATGCCTCCCATGCAACCTCGCTATTTGTGGAATTCTGTGCGATTGAGCAAAAAACTGACATGGTTTTATTTTTAAAAAACGAGATATTTGGTGTCTACGGTGCTTTTAAAATAACATAATGATATAGATCTTGCGAGATTGTTTGGTTACTTTACAGTATTTTTCATATGGAGAACAAAAACAGTAACAGAACACCATAAAATGACGGACTACTAGTGCTTTTATTGTTTGTGRTTTTCATTATTTATAAAGTAACCCAATAATCGAGATGTCTTGTTCAGTTTATCAGTCCCGGTGTTAGAAATAGCACAGTGGCAGGCTAAGTAAAGTGAAGCTAAGGCTACATTGGCTTAAGCTGTCTTCAAGGATCGCGTCTATTTCAAGAGTCAAAGCTTCTTTAATTGAACACCTATCAGTTCAGCTTGAGGTGAAACGCAGTTTGTTTACATCCGATCAGACGTTTGTGTCGAACATGACATGGTTGGTAATAAGGAGAACGCTTTTGGCGTGTATTTCAAATAAAAAAGGGAAGATTTTCAAAATGGCAGACAATCACACAGTGAACACAAGCGGTAAGACACAATAAGGGCAAAGACAACACATATGGAGTGATGCTTGACGCACACGTTCCCAACAACAAGGACCGTCGTACAGGTTTTAAGGGTCTGCACGTTTGACTGGTCCTCGGGGCGAGGAGCAAAGCCGAGAGCAGCTGGGAGGAAGCCGTTTCTCCTCCTCTCCTGTGCTGCTGAAGGCTGAAAGATGGTGGCAGATAAATCAGCCGACGTTCAATCAGCGTCACGCTGATCGCAATCAGGGTTCCTCGTGCCCAGCCCCACATTATCAGGCCTGTGCACGTTTAATTTTATGCACAAGTAGTGTTCACAGAACGCTTGAGAGAACCCTTTTTCATTCAGGACCGGGGCTTATTTATGGACTTTAAGCGTGGAGTGTGAGTGTTTTATTGACTCAAGATGGATGGAAGTGAGGGGTGATATTTAGCTATTAAAAAAGGCAAAAAGAAACATTTAATTTAAACAGACACAAAAGTCTTTTTTTGTTTGTTTGTGTGTTTTGTTTATTCACATAGCAGCACATGATTTTCCCCCTAAACAGTGTGTTTTAATTAAAATACAGCCATTTGTCCTGCAACTTAATTATGATTTAAAACTCTTACATAATATAATTCTCAAGGTCTTTGCATGATTTTTTTTTCTGTGACATGCTATCTTGTGAGTCATATCTACTCACATCTACTATGTGCAGTGATGTCAGACTGCATTGCAATACATTCACCTTAGCATACAGCTGGTTGGTTTAAATCTAACACATCCATGGGTGAAACCCAATCAAAAAATGTTATTAAATTAGCATCYATCAGTTTGTAATTACATGTAATAAGTGGTGGTAAAATGTTTAAAGTCATGCATCGTAGGAGCAAAGGTCTTGAAGAAGTGATGTGTGATTCTGGGATCCTGTGTTTGATGTTTTTTTTAAACTCATTTTAAAGTCTAAGGTGAATCTTAAACCTGTTGGTAAATTAAACTAAATCAGTATTCTCATCATATCTGTAGCTTTGTGAGCTTGTGTTTTGCCATGCAAACTTTAACCTGCATTAAATGTATTACTGGTTTTACAGTAAAGTGCATTTCAGGCTCATTGTTAAATATTCCATCACATTTAGCTTTTTTAAATAAAATCTCCTCCCATTGATTGTGTATAAAATTGTTGAAATCATTTCAGATGTCAGATCATAATGTGACATTGTTGATCTCTCATCAGTTCAAAATCACAACTAACAACCAATTTAAATCAACAAGGTAACTCTTTAAAAAACATTGTTTAGAATTTGAATGCTGTTAAGTTTGTGCTGACTTCCTTTGCTGWATAAGAAAGGTCTTTCACAGTTGTAGATTTTAGTTTTAATTAGTTTAATGGGTGACACTAATTGAGCTTTTAACTTGAGGAACAGCTGTAGCACAAATTACAGAGTGACCTAAAGTCACATTGTATTTAATTGTTACAAAAGACAAGTCAGTCTTACTTGCTTATATAAGTTCATCTTTGTGGGTTAAAATGAAGTGTGTGTGCAAATATTTCTGCTGGAAGTCAATCACATTTGCCTAAGGATTTAAAAAAAAAACTCAAATTAAGTTTTACCTGTCTTTATGTACCGATCTGTGCAGCAAATGTGCATTAAAATTGATAGTACAAACAAGTACTGGTTACATCTGTTGGGACAATCCAAAAAAATGATTTTCTTAGATCAAGTGTA